TCCGATATTCTCGTTGATTTAGTAGCTTGGCTGGTGACGATAAGTTGTTGTCTATGGGTGTTGTCCGATATGTAAGTAATGCAAGATATGGGTCTTCACCTGCAGCTTCCGACTTGCATAGTAAGTTCTTTACAGTTTGAACCATTCGTTCTACAAAACCGTTACTTCGAGGATACAGTGGTGAGCTTGTACTATGGCCAATGCCCCAATGGCTACAGAAGGTTGAAAACTCTCGACTGCTATATTGTGGGCCATTGTCTGATACTAGCGTTTCAGGTATTCCATATTCTGCAAATATTGACTTTAATTGGTTGATAACAGCATTTGATGTCGTACCATTCAACTTTCGTAAAATTGGATATTTACTGTAATAATCTGCTACCAGCAGGTATTGTGCTCCTTTGTACTCAAGAAGGTCTGTTCCAACCTTTTGCCAGGGAAAACTTGGAACGTTATGAGGGTGTAGCGGTTCTTTCGATTGCTGTTTCGAGTATTGCAAACAGGTGGAACAAGTAGTTGTCATCTTCTTAATATCATTCGAAATCCCAGGCCAAAACAAGCAGTCTTTCGCCTTCAGAAGGCATTTCTCCGTGCCCATATGGCCCTGATGCACAATTTGTAACATCTGTTGACGGAGTTTGCTTGGAATCACAAGACGATGTCGTTTCAGTACCAAGCCGTTTTCAACACTAAGATCTTCGCGAAAGTTCCAAAATTCCTTCAAGTCAGAAGGACACTGGCTAGGATACTCAGGCCATCCGTGGTGTATAACTTCTTTCAAGTGATCCAAGGTAGCATCTTGTCTTGTTTGCTCCCGTATTTCGTCCAATTTTGTTGGACTTGCTGGTAATGTACTCGAAATTTCATTGATTTCTATCATCGGCACTTCATTTCCATCTACAGGTGGCTCCATGCAGCTGACTCGGGACAAGGCGTCCGCGATTACATTCTTCTTGCCCTCGATATATCGTAGATCAACATCATACTTCGACATTCTCAGGAGAAGTCTCTGTAGGCGAGGCGATGCACTAGTGATACTCTTCTTCCATATGCTTTCTAACGGTTTGTGGTCTGTCTCGATTACCACCTTCTTGCCAAACACATAATGATTAAATTTCTCCAGGGACCAGCAGGCAGCCAACAGTTCTCGCTCAATATTGCTGTACCGTGACTCGGTTTCGCTCAGTGACCGACTTGCATAGCATACTGGCTTACCATCTTGCATCAACACACACCCAATTCCTTTTAAACTTGCATCTGACTGGATCAAATTTTTCTTCTCAGGATTGTAATAGGATAGAACTGGAGCTTCTGTAATTACTTGCTTCAACTCTTGGAAAGCTTGTTGCTGCTCTGGTTGCCACATAAATGGTACATCTTTTTTCGTCATCTGTCGCAAAGGCAATGATATCTGGGATAAGATTGGAGAAAATCTGTTCAAGTAGTTCACCATTCCCAAAAACGATTGCGGCTCTGTTAAATTACTTGGGCTGGGCATGTCTCTAATAGATTTGATCTTATGTTCGTCGGGTTTAATTCCACCAGGGGTCCACGTTAGCCCAAAAACGATGCTTCTTCTACTTTAAACTGAAATTTATCTGGGTTGAATCGTACATTGTTCTTTCTTGCGGTTTCAAGGACGTCGATTATGCGTTGATCGTGCTCAGCTTCATTCTTTCCATAGATGAAGGTGTCATCTGCAATCCCACTTAAGCCATCTAATTTACCAAAAGTCGCATCCATCTTTTCTTGGAATATATCACCACTGCAGGTGAGTCCAAATGGGACTCTGTTCCATCTGTACTTGCCCCATGGGGTGTTGAAAGTGCACAGACGACTGCTCTCTTCGTCGAGTTCGACTTGCCAATATCCACAACGTGCATCTAGGATACTGAAGTGGGTTGCACCACTGACTTTTGGTATGACATCATCTATGGTTCTCACATAGTATGGGTTCCGCTTGATCACTTTGTTAAGATCGCGAGGATCCAAACATAGGCGAATGGTTCCATTGGGCTTTTGTGTAACTACGGTTGAATTGACCCATGGGGTATATTCATTCTGGACTTCGCTTAAAATCCCAGACTCTACTAACTTGTCCAGCTCATCTTTGTATGGTGTTTGCAATGGAATTGGCACTTGTCTGGGGGCATGTTGTACAGGAACTGCATCAGGAATCATTTCAATATGGTATGGGTCTCCAGGAAAACAACCGACTCCTGTAAACACATCCGAGTACTCCTCTAAAAGATACTCTTTGGTTAGTGGAAAAGGACGTTTCCCCCGCACATCTGGAGGGTTATCATCAAGGAGGCTAGTTGTGGTACTGTTGAGTTGCTTGGCCGATACTTTAGGTGGTGGTCTGGCGGTCGATAACGGTGGATGAGACATGGTTGTTGATACTGGTGGTTGATGGTTACTGCTGGGTTGGTTACTGGTGGTGGCACTGGTGTTACTGATGTGTCTGTCAAAGCTATTATCATAATTCCCAACATAAATGGCCCAATTGAGCTTTAAGAGACCCAAATTTTGTGCAGACTTATTGCCAATTATCATAGGGCCATTAACATCAACAACTTGCACCTGGATTTTCCATAATTTCTGGATATCCGGTACCTTTACAAAGACAAAGCATGATCCCAGGTTTGGTAGTTCAGCCCCACCATAAGCCGTCAATTTCATTGTAGGCTTTCCTAACTTATGTGATTCATGTTTCAACTGTTGATATATGGACATGGGCAAAATATTTGTCTCGGCACCAGAATCTATTTTGCATACAACATGCGATTGCATCCCTTCATTATTCAGGGAAATAGAAACTTCTAATAATGCTTTCTCCTTGCATGACACACTATGCACTTGAGCAGCCAAAGGTGTGGCAACAATTGGTCCTAGGAATACAAATTGTTCCTCTCCCACACGAGGTGATTGCAGCTGATTTTGTTGTATATTATCAGCAAGGGCTTCAACTTCATGTACATTCTTATTCCTTAACTTTGCCAAACATACTTTAGCAAAGTGTCCTACTTTCTGACAGTAGTGGCATGTCATGTTTTTGGCAGGACACTGATCTTGAGAATGTGATCCCCGACCGCAGTTCCTACACTGTTGCCCAGACCTAGGGTTATGTCTAACTTGATTTCTTCGGTTTTGATATCTTTTGTCCCTAATTGATGCAATGTTATTTACTTCACTAGCATTCATTAATTGCAGTTGTCTTTCTGCCGACTCATCGGTTTTTGCCATTTCCCTGGCTTTGCTAAATGTCAGGGTGTTCCCTTCCTTAAAACAATCTTTTCGAACACGGTCAGAATTAATTCCGAGGACTAAGAAGTCTCTAAGGAATCGATCATAGTGTTCGGCTGGGTAGTTTGCTTCTTTAATGAGAATCCTTAGTTTAGTGATAAAATCTTCAAGAGATAACATACCTTGCCGAAGGTTATGCAGTTCCCAAACTGCAAGCAGTTCATTTGAATGCGGCTTTGCGTAGTTTTCAAATTTCTCCCAATAATTGACTAGCTTTTTCTGATCTTCTGCTGACAAGTCCGAACTGTTGAATAGCTCCATGCCACGTTCGCCAGACCAGTATAACAAATGTTTACATTTCACTTCTTCTGACATTGTTGCCATCGGGCCCGTGAGTAGCAGTTCGCATCTTTGCTTCCACATTTTAAAGCGGCCATATATGTTGTCATCCGTGCTCCAGTCTATAGAAGGACCTTTGTCAATGTATGCCCCGCTTGTCGCCATATTTGAATTGAAAACTCAATCGGCTTTTTTCTCGTATACCAGAGCAAATTACTTTGGTTTGAATTAGTGTCTTTATGCCGTTAGCCTAGCTAAGGCTAATAAACAGCACAAATCCCACACCTGACACCATATAAAAGTATTGTTAATCACTAACTTTCGATCTTTACAAGTGTGTACGTATTTTGATATAACCTAATATCTAAGTTCGTTCTTGTTTATATAGTAATCCATTACCCGGATGTGTCCATAATTAATACCTAATTACTCTATAATTTATAACATAAATTATGCCTATAATAATATTACAGACGCAATATGACTTCGCGGATTAATATCTATTCTTCGGTTAGGCGAATGCTATGAAAACAAAAATACTACCGTTCAGTTCATTGAAAGAATATCTCCTAATTCCTAACGATTAGTCAAATGTTAACAGGATAGCGATTTATGAACTTTGAGAGGTAAAGCAATATCATATATATTTCACTATAAGGTCACATAAAAAAAACCCAGTTGGTTAGCGTCCTTAGCTTTTGCTAAAAAGTGGGCGGGCGGGCGCTTTTTTTTTAATTTTTACTAATTTTTAACGCCTTGGTTTTAGGTCCGAAATTGGATTTTCTTGCGCAGTAGGCCTACAGATATTTTTTTATATATGTCAAAATATGATTCATACCGTCATTTTCGCACGCAATTTCGCAATTTATTAACACTATTGACTATACAGTCAACAGAAATACTATACATATTAGAGCTCGTTGATCAATAAAAGTTGGGGTTTTATAAAATAAAAAATTAAAAAAAATCCTGAGCGGAGCCTTTTTTGTGGGTGGGCGAGGATGCTAACCAACTTTTTTTTATGTGGCCTAATACTCAATTTTCTCGAACAATGTAAACTCGCCGCCGAACATAACTTCAGCCCCTTCAGACATATCCTTTTCGTAATAGTCTTGTTCGAACTGGCATCCGAAACATTATTTATAAAGTGTTATTTCAAGGAATCAAGGACGTCTTCTGAAATCAGTATGTAAGGCCATCGCTCACTCAGTTTACGTTAGAAGAATGCGACTGTTAACAATATGAGACGAAGTTCCGAGCGGTTCACGATTATTTCATTTCTTGCGCAATCAAAATACAGCCACAGTATCAGAGGGTATCCGACGTCATAGATACACGTCCTGTGATTGGCTGGATACCCTCCAAGGTATCCAAATATAAACCTCATTAAGTTGCTAATTTCACTGAACATTTGAACCGCGGACCGTATCAGAACACCGCAGACGCATTTAAAACATTTTTCCGAAAGGGTTACGTAACCTCGGGTTGTGCCTTCGGAAAGCTCTCGGCCCATCTTCGTCGAAAATAATTCAATGCTTTAAAAAGGCGGCTAATGTTACATTTAGAGCTGTAAATCAGTTTAAAATTTACGAAAGAATTTGTCCTCGTTCATCTTAGTAAACTCAAATTTTCACTATTTTTAAACAGAAATGAATTGCGTGAAAATATATTAATTGTGAATTTTTCCCCAAAACTATTCTACTATCCATAATCGGAACAATCTGACCGTATCTTCAGCTACACTCGATACCCCCTGGATCCGTATAATGTTAGAAAAACATTCATTACGTGCATCAGTGATTTTATTAGAATCATTAATTAAGTGACCGTCAAATCAATTTCGATAATTTGAGTAATTTTCCGATTCTTAGATGTAAGTTCATTGATAATATTCCAAGTCTTTTTAGGATTGCCTTTATTTTCACAGAAAGCATTTTTGAAATAAGTTTCTTTAGCACGAAAGATTTTGTGATTAACTGAATTACGCATTTTCCGCTTAAATGAAGACCAATCCTGAGAATCCTGAGAATAATCCAAGGCGATTAAGAAGCCTTGACACGCTTTGTACAAAGTGGGGCATGTTTATCGACAACACAATTGAATGTAGTTTTCCAAGCATGCCACATATCATTAGGATTTTCAAGTTCGTTAATATGGCTCCAATTTTGTAGACTAATATCATTACGAAATTTGATAGGATCAAAGTTTTTAAACTTTGTATAGTTTACCGTTGAGTGACCCCTTGTCCGGCAGACTAATAGAAAGCTTTCGAAAAGCATAAATGAGACTGTGATCGCTTATACTAACATGAGAGACACCAGAGCAAACAACTTTATCGAGAGTGTTTGTAAAGATATGATCCAGTATCAATGTAGAGGAGGAATCTGTGGTTCGAGTGGGCTCATTTATCAGCTGAGAATGATTATATAATGCAGCAATGTCCAACAGCCTTGAACCATGATCTAGGACAATAGAGCTCAGATCACAATTCAGGTCACCCATTAGATAGTACTCGATATTTTCAGCATCGAGTATACCTAGGAGAGTTTCAAAATGACTGAACATTACCGCTGGCGAATTAGGTGGCCTATACCATGTCGCTATGAGAAAAGGCTTGGCTCTTGGTTTATTAATTAATTAAGATGCACAAGTTTTCTAATTGATCAAATGATAAATCATGCCGAACCGAAAAAATTATACAACTACGGATATAAAAACAAACACCTCCACCAAATATGCATTAGAGCTAGTCTCTATCACGGCGAACAATTTCGTAGTCATGTATATGCACTTCACTATCTCTAATCGTTGAGTCAAACCTTGTCTCATTTATAGCCAATACATCAATCATATTTTAGAACTGCTTAAAAATTAAAATATAAAAACGATGACGACTGACAGGTTTGATATGAAAATCCGTTTGAGAGAAATTGAGAAAATACCTACTTCAAAGCATATACGATTTTATCTGCTTTTTTGACTTGACTGTTGATAAAATGCTAGAATGTTTTTGTGATTTAAAAGCAAACAGAAATAAATAAAAATTAGCTATATATAGCAGGCATTTCGAACTATGTATCGCAAAATCTATAAAACAAATATTATATATCGCACTCCTTGTAATTGACGTTTAACGTTTTTATGAAAACAACACCAGGCTCTTTCCCAAAACGACCCTGGGTAAGAGAATGGTTTTGGCCGAATTTGGGGGCAGAGATTGCGGGATGAAGCTTGAAATACGGCCAGTCAACATACTAATATTACAATATTATTTTGTAGTACGCCCACAATTGCAAGGCAAAATTAGAAAGTAATTAAAAAATATGCATGCGTTTTATTGGCGTTGCTAATATTAACGTTGCACCACCTGTCAATCAAAGTGGCTCCTCACCAATGGGGATTTTGTGTTGCTCAGACAACACGAAAATACAAAATAATATAGTATATATGTTGCATGGCCGTATTTTTAGCTTCACCCCGGTGTAAGCTTTGCCCCAAATACGGCCAAAGCCCCGCTGGCTGAAGGTAGTTCTGCTTCTTCATATCCAAGTCTGTATAATATAAAAAACATGGGGTCTTTTTACCCCAAATTATGAGACATGCGGGAAAAATGCCTTACATTTTCCGGACATAGCTAACTTTCGTGTTTAATTAATTGTACGGCTCTGCGGAGGAGAGCTAGTGCATGGTCACTGATCATGATATCGCTTTTTGTCCAGCTATTTTGAAGTGTCGCATTTGTGCAATGATTCATTTATAATAAATTCTTACCCTGATACAGGCACAAATATGTAATAAACAGGTTATCATAATCGGGACGAGGAGGCCGGCATCAGTTTTATCGCTTTTGGGTGGGATTCCGGGTGTTCGGTTTCGGGTAGCTATAGGTTCCGGGTTTTACAAAAACCCGAAAAAAATTACGCGGTTTTGAGTTTAAATTATGTATTGTATTTCACTCGAATCGCTCCCAGTTATACAGTAGTATATTCACAAATCAACACCATATAAGGTAATCCTGCTTCTTTTCTAAATTTAACTTTTAGTTATTACTTAATATCAACCTTACTGTTATTTTCCCGACAGACCTTTACATGCATTTTTAACATCATTAGACCTTTATATACATTTTTTTCAATTCATATACATCTTTAAACCTTTACTGATGTACATTGCTAGACCATGCAGTATACATTATTAGACCTTCAGTATAAAGGGTGTCCCAAAAAAAAGTGACACTATAGAAATTATCCTATTGTTATAATTTGAATGCCCTAGCACTAAGTTGATCCCACAGGTGCATAAACTTCTGCTTCTGGAATTTAAAATAAAAAAGCAAACCGTTTATTAGTGTAATCGTTTTGCTTGACTCGGGCGTTAAAATCTTTGGACAAAGCGAAAACTTTTTTTAATGCTTAAATGTAAATACAAGTTCATTAAATTCCCAGGCGTGTAATCACGCGCGTTTAAGAGCGGCTTAAGAACAATGAGATAATTTCTATTGTGTCACTTTTTTGGGGACACCCAGTATACATTTTTAAGCAATTTATATAATATTTAAAATGTACATTGCTGGACCTATATATACATTGTTAGACTTGATGTAAACTTTTAGACCTAACCAGGGGCAGCTGAGAAAAATGCAACTATACAGGGTGTATAAAAAAAAGGTAATCGAAATTCAGCGCGCTATTATACGTGAATTACTCGGCGTATGAACAATTGGTTGTCATATTCGGAAAGATCAGGCTTTTAGCTATTGGATGACATGCTTTTCATGTCAAGCGGAGAAAAAATAAGCATGTACGAGGCCGATTAAAAATGTTAGTCAAAATCGCATATTTTCACCTCTGTGCTTAAAACAATGCATAACAAAAGAAAAAGCAATTAATCACGAACGTGTCGTAGCTTAGCTAAGATTTATTCCTACTTAATAATAATTATGAATATGTGCGTCGTTTATTGAAGTGAAATTCATCAACTTAAGTACCAAAGGGGGTTCATTTTCAATTATTTTAGAACTCTCAACGGTAAAAATATGCAATTATGACTACACAACGGTTCGTATTTGTTCATTTTTTATCCATTTGGCATGAAGAAGATATCATTCAACAGCTACAAGCATGATCTTTCCGAATGTGAAAAAATCGATTAACTTTTTTTTATAC